AATAAAGCTATCATATCCAAAGCACAGCAAGCCTCCCTGCACGCTTTCCGTAATACGCCTGAGGTACGAGGGCGGCGGTTTTTCAGCGTCAGCTTCAACAATCCATCGCACAGAAATCCACAATTTTTGCGTCTGGCGACTTGACCGGAATGTTTTCGGATGGAATAGCATGAATACTCGTTTATTCGCTAGCTGTTTGAGGTATACAACGATTGAATGGTAGATATGACGGAAATTCTTATCTTGATGCATGAACCCATATTTTCTTGGCCTAATTTCCAAATGGAGATCTTTCTTGACTATGTTACGTACTGTTTTCTAATGTTATGAAGTACAAAGGATATCCCCTTCTTGAAATCTCTAAATTACTGATCTGGGTGCATCTTTATGATCTGAGTGAGTGAATATTTTGCGTTTGAAAGGGCTGCTACATATCCATCGAAAAAGCAGTTATACAAACGTTTAAACGGCCTTATATCGGTTGTCACGTGACTTGCTGATTGGGATATTTAAAATCCTATTAATATAATGTACTGAACCCTCTGTCAATCAGTTAATGTGTTTTTTTTTACTTTAGCTTTAACTTGCACTTCTTGCAGGCATTTCATATAGGTCACAGTTTTATTGAATAATTAAATATAAATGTAATTAGAAGTTAAAAAATCGCTTTTTATAAACTGTACGTGTTAACTTCACAATAGTGTGCAAATCTTTAAATTTGGATGATTTTTCGAAGATACGAAGTGTTCGGTAACTTCATGTGTTAAGCAATATCTATTTGTATTAAATATAAAGGTCAAGTTGTAGCTTGATAAAAAAAGAGCCTGTTTAAAATAGGCTCGTGTATCTTTTCTAATTCCTGAATGAGGAAACCTCTTGAGATCGATCAAGTTCTGTCAATATCAAAATTTCTTCTACTTCCCGTATAATTTATGTCTTGATCTAAAATAAACACTTTTTGAGACAGAAATTATTGTTCTGTTCATACATAAAATCGATAGTCAGCTGTGTCACGAAGACTTATTTATCATTACTTTCTATTTGTTGTTTCATTATTTTATAATCCTAGCTAGGATTGCTTATGTTATGGATGGTGATTTTTATTCACTCAAACTGAAGCACGTGAAACAAATTCATTATCAGTTCTTCAGTGGAAACGTTATCAAAATGCGACCTGAGTAAAGTTTGATGCTGGGTTTTATTTGAATGATTTTTCTTAGTTTATTCTGAGTAATGTTATTTATAATGAACGAAATTGCGTACATAATATATTCGAGAGTATCTAAGCGCTAACACAATCAGCCTATTACGTATTTTCTCTCAGAACTTCTGTGGTTTTTACTTCTACTTTAAGTTTGTAACGAGCTTGTTACAGAAAATGAAAGTAGTGCTCGTAATTTTCATTCATATCAAGTATTTATAAGTAAAACTACTTAACCAGGATTTGGAGGTTGGGGGAGGGGAGAATCAACAAAGAACTAGCTAGACATTTGATTGTTTGTTTTGAATTTCGCGCAAAGCTATACGAGGGCTATCTGCGCTAGCCATCCCTAATTTAGCAGTGTAAGACTAGAGGGAAGGCAGTTAGTCATCACTACCCACCGCCTACTCTTGCGCTACTCTTTTACCAACGAACAGTGGGATTGACCGTTACATTATAACGCCCCCAAGGCTGAAGGGGCGAGCATGTTTGGTGGGACGGGGATTCGAACCCGCGACCCGCAGATTGCGAGTCGAACGCCCTAACCACCTGGCCATGCCGGGCAGACATTCGCTATTAAGCAAAAATGTCCAAAAGTCCCCAATAGAGGAAGGGAACGACGATAATGAAAAAGAAGCTTTATCATTTCATTAACAGAAATGTCAACACTTTTTAACTGCTAAATTTGAGACGAAGTTCTTGAATAGTGATTTTACACTTCTACATTATTTTATTTTTTCAACTCGTTTTCGTGCAAATCTTAGCAACTGTTTCCGTAGTCTATGTCCCACCCCTGGTTTCGCTAGTGCTAAAGAGTATTAGCCTAAGCCAATTAAGTGTCTTTCTAAATCGGTCTAATGAGCGTTTACCTTCGTGTATTTTGAAATATACGATTTTCATAAACTTGGTATTTCAAATGGAATCCCTTTGTATATATACACCATGAAATACACTATCTGAGTAAAAGAATGTAAAGAATATTTTCATAAAAGGATATTATAAGTTACACTTTACCATTCTACTTAACTTTACCGTTGAAAATTTTAAATGTTCTTCTTAGTTTTGTTTAAAGTAAATTTTTTTAGCATTTTAATTTAACTGACTACAATGTGAGAATATCGAGACTGGACTTCGTTCGAGTGGATTACTTGTAATCTTTGTTAATTAGTCTCCTGACTATGAAAATTATATATGTATCACTTTAATACTGCCAAAAAGAGAATAAGTTGATGTTGACAGAGGATTAATGTTATGCTGTTTAAGAATATGGTTCATTTGCATTCGTTGATGTTGATTTAATAGATAACATTAGGACGCTCGACTCGCAATCTGAGAAGCGCAGATTCGAATCCCCGTCACCAAACATGCTCGCCCTTTCAGCCATGGGGCGTTATAAAGTGACGGTCAATCCCACTAGTTGATAGTAAAATAACAGCCCAAGAGTTGGCGGTGGGTTGTGTTGACTAGCTGCCTTCCTTCTAGTCTAGATTAGGGACGGCTAGCGCAGATAGCCCTCGTATAGCTTTGAGCGAACTTCAGAAAAAAAAACACTGGAGCATATGAACAATGGCAGTTTTCATAATGCATGTAGGCCAAGCATGGCCAGGTGGTTAGGGCGCTCGACTCGCAATCTGAGGGTGGCGAGTTCGAATCCCGGTCCCACAAAACGGTGAGTGGTGATGACTAGCTTCTTCCCTCTAGTCTTATACTGCTAAATTAGGGACGGCTAGCGCAGATAGCACTCGTGTAGCTTTGCGCGAAATTCATAATAAGCAAACAAACATAATGTATGTTTAACAGTTTTGTGTTCATTGTACATAAACATCTGTTACTGAACCAGATTATCTGTGTGTTTTTTGCTGTTGTTTTTTCTCACCCCACAGTTTATAATAAGCTTAGTTAGTTGGTCAGATCATTACATTTTCACTTACTGAGACATTAGGCTCACAGAGGCACCCTAAACCAAATTTACACGACAACGTTGGATCTCTTTACCAAGTGAAAAAACCAGACTTTATATGCGAGCACATCATCTTCTATATCATGATATACATATAGCTTACACAGGAATATTTAATTTATTTAATTGATCTTTTGAATTGGTGTGTTGTACGGCAAAATTACTAAATAGTCAATTTTATGAACTGTAATATTCCTGTAAAGTTTTCAAAAATCGCATTTTATTAGATCGTCCGAACAACTTGTATATCAAAGCAAAACATTTATTAAATTAAACAATCTCATTCTTATCGATGATACTTTTCTATCTTACAATAAGGTTTTTAATGCCCTGGTTAAAGAAAACACTTGGCTTTGAAGCAAAAAACATGTGGATGTCCTCTTTAACACCTTCCACATTTGCATACGTTTTCTCATTAAGATGGTGTTGCAGAGAACTAAAAAGATGGTACTTTGATGGTGCCATATCTGGAGAATATGGTGGGTGGGGGAGAGCTTTCCAACCCAACTCCATAATTTTGTGTTGTGTCAAACGTGCCATATGTGGACGTGCATTGTCGTAGAGAAGAAGAACACCTTTCCGATTGACGAGTGAAGGGCGTTTCTGATGAAGGGCTTGATTTAAAAGTTCCAGTTGCTGACTGTAGATCTCTGCTCTGACAGCTTGCTGTGGATTGGGGGAGTTCGAAATGAATCACACTTTGATGTCCCACCAAATGCAAAGCATCACTTTCTGCGGATGGAGTCCAGGTTTTGAGATCAGAAGTGGTTTTTGTCTAAGACTAAGCCATTGTTTTTGGCATTTAATATTCGCATAGAGAATCCGGTTACAATTCCGTCCAAAAATGGTTCACGCGCATTACGCGTCAGAAGAGACGAAGCAATGTTCACAGGTTGGAACTGATGATTATCGAAGACTTCGTGAGGCACCCAGACACATTCTTTAAGGGGTTTTCCCAAATTTCTTAGATGTTTACGTATTGTTTCATCAAAGACATGCAATTTCATGGCCATTTCACGAGTGTGTTGCCTTGGGTTAGACTCAACAAGCGTCTTAGGAGCATCAAAATCAATTCCAACATGTCGTCCCTGCCATCACAGGTTTTCACCTGAACGAAATTTGCTAAACCATCGTTGACACTTACGAACGTTCAAAACATTTCCAAAACTTCTTTGATGTTTTTTATGGCTACAGAGGTGTTGTTTCCCTTCTTGTATTCAAACAGCATTACATGCCGAATGTGCGTCTCGTCGTGTGCCATCACTATAAGGGATTAGAGTATACCAAACTTTACACATTATATAGGCTACACTAACGTGACGTTTAGGCGGTTCGTTTAACTATTATACGTGATGTACGTTTTTTGTGGGTGGTTAATGAAAGTGTTCCATTAAAAGACATTAATCTTTTGACGACCTAATATTAAACTAAACGTACCAACCTTTCTTGGATCGCATGTAGCATTAAAATGCAAGTACTTCAAATCTGAAACATTAAGTACAATCATATGTAAATACTTGAAAATTATTGTTTTAGAAAAACAAAATTAAGCAAGTGTAGTGGGTGTGGTAGGTAGAAATAATATATTTCTAAACAAATTGAGAGTTATCATAATTATAATAATGTCTTTTTACAATAGTCAAAAGTGTTTTTGCCGAACACTCAACCTACACGCTAAAGACTAGTTGGAAAAGTTTCATCAGGCATTTAATTTCATGTCAAGTATTATAAGTCTATATTTTATTTTGAAATTAATTTGTTCTCATAAATTTAGGGAACACTTGCATATCCGTGTACGTGTTTTCCTTTCTATTTTAAGTTTATTTGTTTCCTTTCCAGACAACGAGCCCACGGATTATACACCAGTGTACAACAGCCATAAATACACTCTTTTACCTAATGGCTCACTTCTCGTTCATTCAGTTGGCAAAACCGAAGAAGGCTTTTATCTTTGTGAAGCCCAAAACGGTTATGGAAGAAACTTAAATAAACTGATCAACCTTACTGTACACCGTAGGTAACGCTTTGTGTTTCATAATATAAAGTATTATATATATATATAGTG